GTAGACAGAGCCGCAGATAGCCTGCTTCATTGGGAACCTGTGTATGGTGCCCAGCTGGGGCTTCTATTCAAGCTTTGCTACAGCTGCTAAGAAGACACCTGAGCTCCTTGCACCAATGCATATGCACATACGTGACCTTCAAACAGTGATGTGAGGGATCTCCAACAAATGTGCCAAGTCCCCACCCCATCATTCTGTAGTGAGGCTCTGTGCATTCTGGGGATTGGATTTGTGTTTCCTTCTGGTTCTGGCTTTATGCAAGGAGAGTGGACCTCTCACCACTGGACTTCTCACCCCAGGAGTGGGCCCTAGACTTTGCCTTCTGAACTTTGTGTCCTGTGAATGCATCAGAACAGATACTAAATTCACCTGGTTTGGAAATGACCCTCTTGCAGCAATTTCAGTCTCCTGCTTACCTTTCTGTACACTTTCTCTTCTATTTTGATTTGTTAAGTCCTCATTTCTGTCAGTTAGTTGGTGCTTTACAGAATTTGATTTTCCAATTTACCCATCACTTCAGTTTTTTAAAAAGCAGAGCCACTTCCTAGCCTATCATAGTACCACAAACGGAACTTTTATTTGAATTTTGAAAAACAAATCAATATAGAATAAAAGGGAATATAGACTCTGGAGTCAGACTGGCTTCCGTTCATGGATCTAGGCTTTATCTGCTTGGTGATCCTGGGAAAATCACTTAGCTCCATTGTGTTTCACTTTCCTCATCTTTAAAATGAGGAAGGTCATAGTATTTTCCTCCTAATACGGGTAAAACATTTAGTACACTTTCTGCCACTTGATAATCACCTAATAAGTGTTAGTTAATATCATTATTACTGCCTCATATAAGAGAGAAATGACTAGAGAGGAGAAGTGAGAGATAACCTGGTATGTGAGTATAACCTGTATGGAATGAGAAATGGGGAAAATGACAAAAACTGGGGGGAAATAATATAAAAGGAGGTTTTATTGAGGAAGTCTTGGTGCATGTAATGCAGTATAATTCACCCTTTTCTGCTTTCTCAAAAGATCTTCAGTAAAGATCATTTTCAATGGATTTTTTTGGACCAGGATTTGTGTTTCATGTGGATTTGATGACTGTACCAAGACTGGTTTTTGGTAACTAAATTTTATTCTTATCACATTTTCACCTTATAGGAATAAGTAATTCCACTGCAAAGACTGTTGTGTTTAATAAACATCTCTATTGCTTTGACGATCTGAAAGAAAGCAGGAACTCAAAACAAAACAAAGCAACATCAGGACAACTGGAATAAAATTAATGAATGAACTGCTGGCAAAATGAAACAAAAATTTAATTAGAAAAGAAAGCTTACCGAGTGGCCTTTGTAACACCAAACATAGTAAGAAAGATGATGTAAAAATGGTGATGGTGTTTTTAAAACAGCATTTTCTAGTTACAAAAAGTGAATGAAACTGCTTAGTTCAGAACACTAAGACAACATAGAGCAGGGGGTTTCTGCCAGTGCGCTATTAGCACCTTGGGCCAGTAACTTTTGTTGCTGGCAGGGTGGTGAGGGTCTGGTGCATTGCAGGGTGTTCGCCAGTAGCCCTGGCTTCTACTCACTGGATCCCAGTAGCACTGCCCCCACACCCCCTGTGACACCCAAAATGTCTCCAGATAATAAATGTGCCTTGGGGGCAAAATTACTCCAGGCTGAGAACCACTGCAGTAGAGAAATCACAAAGGTCACCTGTAATCCTATCATCTAGAAATGGGAGCTTTCTGTTAACATAAATAAAAATTGCACAACATCCCTCTACAGCATAAATTTTTGTTACTGTGAGTACTTTATAATAAAATAATCCTAATTCCTCTTTCCTTCCTCCTGCCCCTTGTATCATTATTGTCATTCATTGTACTCCTGATGCTGGGGTTCTTACTCGCAAAGCCGAAGAATGAGCTTCACAACACTCAAGGTAGGAGAGCAAGGTACACGCTTTTATTTAGAGAAGTGAAAGGACAGAGCTCCCGGCTCACACCAGGAGGGGACAAGAGAGCCCTTCGTTGGCTCATTGTCTAGGGGTTTTATGCGCGGTTGAGGATTTCCAGGAATGAGGGTAAAGGGTTAGGGGTGCAGACCTGTTGAGTGGTCCCAGAATGCTCATTCCAGTTGAGTAACAGAGGAGATTTTCTGCTCTGATTCTTTCTCAAGATAGCAGTTTCCCTCTGGGAGCACGTCAGTTAAGACCGCCTACCCTGCCCCCAAGGTGGGCTGGGTTGTTGCACGTTTGCTGAAGTAAGTTAAGAATCTTACTTCTTAATTTCTTGGGCTGCTTATAGTTGGGTTTGCTTACTAAATTAGTCTTTTTCCTAGGTTGCAGATTACTTGGTTAGGATCAGAGAAGGAAATATAGCACATAGGTATGGTTACAATAAGCTGGGCTAAGGTAAATTTTACAGTGAAGTCACAGGTTATGCTGAGACACTTGTCTCTAACTGCAGAACACTCAGACATTCCAGGCTAGGTTGCTGCTGGCCTTTTGAGTTTTAACTGATCTCACTGAAGATGTCTATATTCCTAGTCTGGTATCTTTACTCTAGAGAATTAGTGTGACTCTGACTTTGTGTAATGCTTATCACAGAGTTTCAATAGGGACTTCTTTGCACATCGCTACATTGTTCTGATGGTAATTATCTTGCTCTGCTTTTTCTCTGGAGGCCCTCACTTTACTCTGACTACACCACGGTCCCTCTCACTCCTATGTAAGAACACACATACACACACACACACACACAATCAAAAACATTATTGCTATTATTATTTTGAACAAACTGTTACCTCTTAGATCAAATAAGAATAAGGCAAATACAATTTTTATTTTAGTTTCATTTATTGCTTCTCTGATGCTTTTCCTTTTATCACGTAGATCCAAGCTTCTGACCTACATCATCTTCCTTCTCTCTAAAGGATTTCTTTCAACATTTCTTTCAAGGCAGGTCTTCTGACAACAAATTCCCTCAACTTTTGTTTGTCTGAGGAAGTTTTTATTTCTCCTTCACTTTTGAAAGGTAAATTCCACAAGGTTCAGAATTCTAGGCTGTTCTGTTAACACCTTCAATATTCCACTCCACTTTCTTCTTGCTTTCATGGTTTCTGAAGAGAATTCAGGTATAATTCTTATCTTTGCTCCTTTATAGAGGAGGTGTTTTTTTCTCATGTTTCTTCAGGATTTTTTCTTTATCTTTGACTTTCTATAGTTTGAGAGAAAAATGTAGTTTTTTTTACATTTATCCTGCTTGGTGTTCTCTGAGCTTCCTGGATCTGTGGTTTGGTATATGGCATTAATTTGGGGGAAATCATGATTGCTCCAAATATTTGTTTCTGTTCCTTTCTCTTTCTTTTTTCTTTTATATTCCTATTAGAAGTATGTTGCACATTTTGTAGTTGTCCTGCAGTTTTTTTTTTTTTCAGTCTTTTTTCTCTTTGCTTTTCTGTTTTGGACGTTTCTCTTTAGATATCTTCAAGCTCAGAGATTCTTTCCTTTCCTCAGCTGTGCTCAGTCTCCTAATAAGTTCAACAAAGGCATTCTTCATTTTTGTGGCGGCGTCTTTTATGTGTAGCATTTCTTTTTGGTTCTTTCTTAATGTTTCCATCTCTCTGTTTATATTGCCCATGTGTTCTTGCACGTTGTCTACCCATTAGAGCTCTTAGCATATTAATCATAATTGTCTTAAATTCCCAAACTGATAATTCCAAAATCGTTGCAATAGCTGAGTGTGATTTTGATGCTTTCTCTGTCTCTTCAAACTGTTTTTTGCTTTTTAGAATGTCTTGTAATTTTTTCTGAATAGTTTGATAGTATGTACTGGATAAAAGGAACTTCTTGACACTGGTTTCCAGTGAAGTTGCTGCTTGTGGGCTTCTGTTACTGTAAATTGTAATTCTAGGTGTTTTCCCAACCCTCTCTCTAATGTTGGGGACAGTGGTTAGCTCTGTGACTTCAGCTTTCTTCTAAGTTGTGGAAAAGTTATTGATTTCTCTGCTTTTACTTGTTAGGACCTACTGTATAAATTTTAATGGATCCTGGTATTAATAGTGTAGGGACATACCGCACTTTACATAACTATTCCCATAGTATTGAATATTTTGCTTGTTTCAAATAAGACTACACTAAATATGTATGATTATCTTCTTAGATTCTTTTGTGTAGAATTGACACTCAAACTGAAGAGAAAGTACTAAAATTTGGTGCTGTCCCCTGGTACGGTGTCCACTGGTACGGTGATGGCCTTCACCCTGTCTCACCCTCAGCCACTAAATTATCTTTACAAAGGGATGTCCCCAGAATCCACTTTTTTCCCCCAACATTAATGTTTTATTTAGAAATTTTCCATCAATGCTTATGGGAAAGGTTGTTCTGTAATTTCTTTTCTTGTAAAATCTATGTCAGATTTTGGTATCAGGGTTTTTCCAGCCGCATAAAATAAATTGGGAAATGTTCTTTCTGTTTGTATTTTCAGTATGTTGTTTAGTTTAAATGTAATTGCAGACTTCAAGTTATCTCTTTGACATTACTTCTAACTTCCTTCTGCTTTACTTTTTTAACCATAATTTTCCCCTGGAAAGGAGGTGCACCGTTCCTGGAAGTACTGCAATACCCGGTCGATGCGCGGAGTCGACGGAGCAAGCTCCATTCCGTCTCCTAATTCCAAAAATCCATTTAATATATTGTCGTCGGAAGAGGACGTATCAAGTATTAAACTGATAAAAACAGATACTACACTTGATCTTGGCCAAAGGTCCAGAAGCTATTTCCCCAGAAACCATTCTTGAGCAGAGAAAATACTTCTCCGTCCCCGCCCAGCACCCTGGCTTTTCTGGTCTTCCGCCGGCTGCCCAGAGGACCGCCTTTGTCGAGGTTGGCGAGCCTCCACCAGCAGGGGACGCTGTGGGATCCGCGGCGGCCACGCTCCCACCAGACGCCGCTCTCCCTCCACGCATGCTCTACTCTGCCTTCCCCGCCCACCAGGCGGCCGCTAGGTTTGGGGCCGGGTTTCTAAGACACGGCGCTGGCCGGCTGCGCCTGCGCGGTGGGCGCCGCCCGGAGCCAGCTGAAGCGGCGGGTGGTTCCTGCTGGGCCCGGGTCGCTGCCCAGGTTCTCTCTCTTTACCGCGCCCCTGTGAGGGGGGCTGCCGGCGTACGTCTTCCCGGAATGGAGCACATCCGTACGACCAAGGTAGTTGGGCGCGGAAGTGCCGTTCACCGCTGGCCCGGGGCCGGCTGGGCAGAGCTCGGCTTGACCGAGTCGGGCTGAGGACCGGCCGGCGGGGGCCTTGCCCCGGGCCTCGCCGGGGAGGGCAGCTGCGGTTTGGGCCAAGGAGGGTGCGGGGCCTCTGCCACTACAGGAGTCAGAGTTTTGCTTTCAGACCTTGGTGTCGGGGTTCGGATGATTGAGGCTGCTTGGGGTTAAGTCGCAAGAAATTGGTGGCCGCCTCTTTTCCGCTGCACTTTCTTGGGCAAAATTGGGGCTACTTTAGCTTTGGGGACCTTCAGCCGTGCGCCGACTCGTGAAATCGGAAGGTCGGTGGGTCCTCAAATTAACGTTCGGTTGCTGCGTGTGCTTTTCCTTGTTCATGTTTAATTGTCCCGTGTCCCAGGTGCTTGATGGAAGTTTTGGGAGTTGCGGAGATCAGCCCTCGGCGCCACCTCGTTTTCTGGTCGTGGTGTGTACTTGTTTACATTGGGTATTTCCGTCTCGGTGCTTCAAAACTGTCCAAACGCAGCTTAACAGAGGAGTTAACGGAGAAGGGAAAAAACGTTATCCCGTATTTTCAGGTGTCTGATGGAACTGTTCTTCAGTTGAGCAGTGTGCTCAATTTGTGCGAAAGGCATTTGTTTGGAGAACAAAGTACTCAGGATTCCGTTAAAATGTTGAGACTGAAGAAAATGACATAAAAATATTACCAAATCATTTTACCAACAATATTTAAGTTCACCGTCAACTTTGGGAGAGAGAAAACATAAACCTAAGACCAAAAGAATTGAATAAGATCGCTGGGAGGCTTACAAAATCAGGAAGAGAACGCACTGTGAATCGTGACTCACCGTGTTTTGCTGAAACCATCAGCCAATTGCTGTTCATCCTGAAAGTTACTGTTCATTTAGGAAAGTAGCAGACACACGTCACCTTCATTTGTTTCACGGAGAATTTGAGATCTATGTCATTACAATTAGTTTCACAAACCGTTTTAAGGTGTACGTGGATTTTTATTAGAGCTCGTTTTTAACATTGCACAGACTTTATGCAATTAAATCGAAGATACTAAAAACTAACCCCCTTTTTAAAATATGTTTTAAGAGAGGAAAGGTAAAGTGACTCTAGAATTCAAGTTTCTGGAACTCAAAGTTTGAAAATAGAAGGGTGATTAACTAACCTAACCAGACTAGTAAAAGATGTAGAGGTGGCAAAGAGGACTAGAGTAAGCATCAAATCAGGTTCTTGTGCTCGTTCCAAAGTGTGTGTTATATAGGCTGTGTACACATGCTTTCCTTCTGTATACCAGGTTGAACCTCATATTTACCTCTTTCATAATGCTTGCTACAGTGCACAGCACACAGTAGAAAAACAGTAAAAGTGAACTGAATTTAATCAGAACAAACCCTATTACCAGGTTATTTGCAAGAGTGAACAGAATATTCAAAAATCCTTAGGATTCCTTGGCTTATTTTAAGCCTTTCTACTATAAATTTATGATGTGTATATACATACACACACACACAATTTTCTTTTTTTTGGTATAATTGTAGCTACTCTTATTTCCTTAAGAGTATTGCTGTTGACTTTCATTTGGTATGATGTTCCTCTTTAACTACCAATTAATGGACTTTTCTTTATTTTTCTGATTTACCTTTTAAAAGTGGGCTCATGTGGGTGGTTTAGTAAGATCCTTTTAAGATTTTTTAAAGACTAAAAGATTTCTAACCAATTTTTTTGTTAAATTACTTCTCAAGTTTGCTCCTTTATTACTTTGGGGTTTTTTTCTAGCATTAATATCGCTGATACTCTGAAATAATCTTATATGGCTCTGTATAGACTGTAATAAACAAGTATTAACTGGATACCTAATGTGCCAGGCATCATACAGACACTGGGTATGCTACAGGGAACATGAGAGACATGGACCTCTTACTACATACTGATAATTGTGTGAGCTATAAGATTTTCTTAAATTATAACTTCTTCTTAAAAGATTGATATGAACATAGCCAACTTTTTGTTTCTATTATGCATAGCCTTCACCTGGACATAGTAAATTTGCTGCAAAAAGAATTGTAAGTATTTAAAAACTAAAAATGAATGCTTTAAATTTATTTAGCTGTTTTAAACTCTAGTTATTATGATCAAGAACTGACTATAGAGTAGTAATATGTACCTTAATTTGTTGAATGTTGTTCAGATGGCTACATTTGAAAAGTAGTAATTACCATTTATTGAGGGACTATACGTCAATAAAGCCAGCTATACAGTGTTATTTCACAATATTTCCAATTTCAAAAATATGTTAGTCATACAGAATTATCACGTATCTCTTAAATAACCCTGCCAGTTGGGCGCATTATTTCCATTTACAGATAAGGAGGAAATAGGCTGAGATAATTTAAATAACCTGCCCAGTTAGCTCACAAGGGATGGAGTCAAAATTTAAACCAAGGTTAATCTAACTCCAAAGACTACATAATGTCTTTTCCATTGCCTCTCTAGTGTTAATCTGTTAAGATGTGTATAATATCAATTCAGAAATAAATCCTAATAATAATTATTAGAGTCTTTTCTTCCCTAAACCTCTTCTTGACATAAGTCAGTAATATTTATGTGGTAATCGTGTTTTTTTGTATTGTCTATAGTTTTTTCTTTGCTTACTAACCAGAGATTTATCAGATAAAATATTTTAGCTTGAGTACTAATTAAATGGCTTTTTGGTTCTGAAATTCAGAAACAGAAATCCTGTTTTGGTCACATTTGTTTTTACTAACTTTATAGCACCCTATAAAGATGTGAAGTCTGAATCTGAATTTCTGAAGAAGCATTTCCAAGCTATACTTAAGGAACAGCTATTGCCTATCACTTTGAGCTCTGATTTTTCCATAATGAGATAGTCTTGCCAAGAAACAATGGACAAAATGCAGAGGCCGTTCTGCTTTATGCAGACTTCCTCCCTTCCCTGCCAGGCTTCAGTGCTTTAGCTGACATCATAGATTGATGTCACGTGATTTTGTGCTGTTTGTGAATGGAACTTTACTGAAGGAAATGGAAGAATGTTTTCCTAAGCTATATATGAAATCCAGCTTCATAGAGTTTGTTAAAGAATGGAATGTCCTGTGAAAGTCTGACCCCACTACGGCTCAAATTGAGTTTTCCAAAAGTAATGCCCAGTTTCTTAGCTTCTTACCCCTTTTTGTCATTAGAATGTGAGATCATATATGTTTGAATACAAATATATGTTATCTATAACAGAGGGAAGGAGATGTAAAACTAAGAATGAATCATGGACAAGGAGAAACTGACATTAATTATCTTTGAAATAAGAGCCAGTAGATTTTGAGGAACAACTCAGTACTTATCTCCGTGTAATGTGCTGTTTTACTTACTAATATTCCATTAGATGAAAAAACTGAAACGTGGAGAGATGAAATAAAACAATTTCTACTGACTGAAATAGCCAGCTCTACTGAGGAGGAGGTGGAGCTGGGAACTTAAATCCAGGTCTTCCTGATCCTAGTCCCCTTTAACCGTTACTCTCCCCTGCCCCGCAGTCATCATCTAATCAAGAGATTTGCCTAGTGAGGCAGGTCTGGGTGAGTAGGAATGGCAAGGAGGGGATGGATGAGAGGAACTTAAGGTGTTAGAATTTTGTCTAGTTGGTCACTGATTATGAGGGTCTAGAATTGGAGAATAGGTCTGGCCCAGAGAAACAGATTTGGGAGTAATTATCAGTGCTTAGGTAATCACTGATATTTTCTATTGTGGATGAGTTTATTCAAGAAGAGTATGTTCAGGCTTTGTAAAGAAGAGTGTGAAGGCTAGTGCTCTGGGAATACTTAAAAATCAGCAAGCAGAGGAATAGAGTATTAGGGATACAGTGGGAACTGGTGAATCACAGGCAGTAAGGGACCAGTCTGCCCTATTGTAATGTCTTTCTCTTTTCCCTCCATGGGCCAAAAATTCCTGCCTTTACAAAATTAATTGGGGAAGATACAACAATAACAACAATAATAAGTCAAATATATAATATAGTAGATGGTGGTAGATGCTGTGAGGAGTGTCAGTATGGGGGCAGGGGAGGACAATTTTAAGTAGGGTAGTTAGGGAAAGCCTTAGGGAGATAGTGGCACTTGAGTGGGCAGACCTGGAAGAGGTGCGGGAGCAGAGCCTCACATGGGCAGGGCTGGGGAAGGGTGGGGTGGCAGGGAGAGTCCCAGAGGGAACAGCAAAAGCAACCCCCCCCCCCCCCGTGCTGGGTGTGCCTGGTTGGTAAGAACCAGCAAGACCAGTGTGGCTGGAGCCGAGTGAGGGACCTGGAGAGCATAGTAGATTAAAGTTGGGTACAGGGACAAGTTACTGTAGAGCCTTGAAAGCTAATGCGACATCTTTGCTCTTACTGAGTTAGGAAACCATTCATGTCCAACTGTCCAACACTGCAGAAAAGCAAACTTAGATAGGACTGAAAAGTGCCTCTGTATCTATACTGTTTTCATTTGGTGATTTATGCAGCCAGACTCTGTTGTAGTAACTGGGGTACAAGAATGAAAAAAGTTAAAAATCTCTGCCCTTTGATTCTTACTTCTACTTCATGAAGGTGACTTGGTGCTC